CGGCTGCCCGCGCAACCCTCTGCGGAGATCGTGCGTGTCGAGTGCGCGAAATGCAGGCGAGAGTGCGATTTGCCCGGTGCGCGCGCAACCCTCTGCGGAGATCGCGCGTGTTGAGTGCGCGAAATGCAGGCGATAGTGCGATTTGTCTGGTGCGCGCGCAACCCTCTGCGGAGACTGTGCGTGTCGAGTGCGCGAAATGCAGGCGAGAGTGCGATTGAGTCTGTACGCGCGCGCCCTCTGCGGAGATCGGGCGTGTCGGGCGCGAATGCAAGCGACTTTGTAATACAACTTTAGTGCGCGGAGTATCTGGCGAGTTGGAAGATGAGAACTGGTGACTTTGTAGTACAACTTTAGTGCGCGGACTAGCTGGGGGAGCTGGAAGATGAGAACTGGCGACTTTGCAGTACAACTGTAGTACGCGGAGTAGCTGGGGAGCGGGAAGCTGTGAACTGGCGACTTTGTAGTGCAACTTTAGTACGCGGAGCAATCCGTGGAGCTGGAAGCTGAGAACTGGCGACTTTGTAGTGCAACTTTAGTACGCGGAGTAGCTGGGGAGCTGGAAGCTGAGAACTGGCGACTTTCTAGTACAACTTTAGTACGTGGAGCAATCTGTGAAGCTGGAAGCTGAGAACTGGCGACTTTGTAGTACAACTTTAGTACGCGGAGTAGCCGGGGAGCTGGAAGATGAGAACTGGCGACTTGGTAGTGCAACGTTAGTACGCGGAGTAGCTGGGGAGTGGGAAGATGAGAACTGGCGACTTTGTAGTGCAACTTTAGTACGCGGAGTGTCTGGCGAGTTGGAAAATGAGAACTGGTGACTTTGTAGTACAACTTTAGTACGCGGACTAGCTGGGGAGCTGGAAGATGAGAACCGGCGACTTTGTAGTACAAATGTAGTGCGCGGAGTAGCTGGGGAGCTGGAAGCTGAGAACTGGCGACTTTGTAACTGGCGACTTTGTAGTACTTAGTGCGCGGAGTAGCTGTGGAGCTGGAAGCTGAGAACTGGCGATTTTCTAGTACAACTTTAGTACGCGGAGCAATCTGTGGAGCTGGAAGCTGAGAACTGGCGACTTTGTAGTACAACTTTAGTACGCGGAGTAGCCGGGGAGCTGGAAGATGAGAACGGGCGAATTGGTAGTGCACCTTTAGTACGCGGAGTAGCTGGGGAGTGGGAAGAAGAGAACTGGCGACTTGGTAGTACAACTTGAGTACGCGGAGTATCTGGGGAGCTGGAAGATGAGCACTGGCGACTTTGTAGTACAACTGTAGTGCGCGGAGTAGCTGGGGAGCTGGAAGATGAGAACTGGCGACTTGGTAGTACAACTTTAGTACGCGGAGTATCTGGGGAGTGGGAAGATGAGAACTGGTGACTTGGTACTGTAGTACAACGACTTGGTAGTACAACTTTAGTACGCGGAGTATCCGGGGAGCTGGAAGATGAGAACTGGCGACTTGGTAGTACAACTTGAGTACGCGGAGTATCTGGGGAGTTGGAAGATGAGAACTGGCGACTTGGTAGTAGAACTTTAGAGAACTGGCGACTTTGTAGTACAACTTTAGTACCTTCATTCCAACTTGCTTTTTTCAGTGAGATTTCCTGGAGGCGTGCACGCTGCTTCTCCCCTTACCAGCAGCCCAAATGCTCACGACGATGAGCTGGGCTGTCACCGCTTGGCCGCCGGTGGGGGGTTTGGGAGGCCTGCGCGCTAATTCGTTCACCCTGTGTACAGTGAAGACCTTCGCCAGCAGCAGACATGGACATACACACACAGACAGGGACTCATACACACACACACATCACACACAGAGACCCACGCACTGCCTCAACTTACTCGGGCACACACACACAGACAGAGACTCATATACACACGGACATAGATACACACACACACAGAGACCCACACACTACCTCAACTCACTCGACTTAACACTTCACACTGCACACTTAACAGATAACTCGCACTCTGACTTCCTACGTGATTAAAAATGCTTTCGGGCCACTCGTCGTCTAGTTTTCTTCTCGGGCTGCTGCTAGAGAGTTTCCGTGACTTGACATAGACTGTTCCATGCAAACCTGTCCGGGGCGTTGCAAAGCTTGGGTGGCGCTCACACGCTGAGACTGGTTGGTCGCGGCACCACATGCTGGATGAGTCGGATCACTTTTCAGTCCCCTCTTCCTCGGCAGATCCCCAGAATTGGATCCAGTCTTTGAGAGCCCAACTCCCCTGGACCGGAGAAACCTGAGGTGAAGTCTTCGATGCAGCTGCTCGTGAGTTCCTCCGCGTTTTCTTGCGCTCTCTGGCCGCTGCTGACGGGAAGACCGGGTCCATGAGTGCCGCGCGGCCGTGGAGAATCGTTTGCGGCGGTATGAGGGAAAGGTCCCACCTTCCAAGACAGGTTCTGCTCACGGGGGCTGGTGTGTGAGCTGCAAACTAGCCCAGGCACCCAGCTTTCAACAGACCTTGGAAGAGTTGAGGCACTCGGGAAGATCGGGTTTTCCTGGGTGGGAGGAGCTTTCGGCCGGTGCGTCCGCCGACGTCGCACGCCTTTCGACTCAGCCTCAGGCCGCTGCCCGGGGCGCCTTCCTCGCGGCCCAGCGGGCGGTTCGGCTCTCGCCGCAGCCGGGCTTGCGCTCCGAGGTGGGGCCACCGAGCAGGGTTTTTGGTTTGGGGTGAGCGAGTTCTCCGATTTTCAGACATATGATACGAAGCCATTGAAAACAGGGTTCATCTCCAGTAAGCATGGGAGGTAGTCCTGCAGGGAAGCAACGAAAACAGAACCAAAGCCACCCAGACCCCTTGGAGTGGGAGTCGACCGTAGATCCACGGGCAGCTGGGTGACTTGGGCGCCGCAAGCTGAGGCGGATCACTTCTGCTTCGTGCCGGCGGGCGGCGGCGATCCGCGCGACTCGCGGCTCCTGCCTCTGGCGCCCTCGAATCCCAAGGCCGCGGACACGCCCCCTGGCGAGCGGTGGGTGAGGGAGGATCCCTTCGAATCGGAGGAGGCTGCGGACCGTGAAAGGACGCTATAGAATGTGATAGATTTGTTGCAGGTCATGGCGTGAAATAGCTGGTCATCCAAGCAGTACGTGCAGTGCAAACTCTTGCGTACTGTGATAGAAAGAAGGTCACATTGCATGAAGGAGTAGACCTTGCAGCTGATGCCTTTTTTGGGCCAAGGCTTTTCAGCCATTTGCCTTCTCCAGTGGAGGACTTTGTTGGGCGAGGCATGTGACACGCCCATCGCCGGTTCATAGGGAGGGCCCAAAATGAATCTCCTGCAGAAGAGTTTGCGGGACCCCCGAAGATGCAAGTGCAGCTTATAAGCTTTGGTAGGGAGCATCTAGCCACAATGTGATGTGCATGCATGCAACCAAGCTGACCCAAAGAAAAGAGGCTTCCAACCTGAATGCTTCGTTCGGATGTGGAGGCGCCACCATCGCAGCTGTGGCCAGCGGGTTCCTGGGCCAACGGCGTGTGATATGGTTGCATGGCAAGGCAAGGGTTTTCACGCCCAAGTCTTGAATCTTCATGTTTTATTTTTTTGGGTGGAAAATTGGAAACACGGCTACATTGCATCATCGCGCTCCGGATCGCGAGTTTTTGATCCGCCCCTGAAAGGCGGGCATCGGCAAGAGCGCCTTGCTCTCCGAGTTCTGTCGCTTCTATGCTATGCCGGGCGACCGGTGCGGTGGCCATGGGTTGCGAGACGCGGGTTAGGGGAAATCTCGAGTAAAGACGAGTAAGAAAGGTTGCATGGCTTGATGACTGCAACGCAGGGGGTCAGGTACGACCAGATAGGAAGGGTCTGTCTTATTGTGCTTTTTACCCGCTGTGAAATTCACAGTGCGTTGCTGACGGTTAACCGAGGTTTCTAGACTCTAGACTAATTACAATCTTCCGGGTCCATGGCATTTTTTCGGGTCAGCCGGGCCGTTTTTGGACGATGTATTTGGTAGCCCTGCAGACAACCACATTGACCTGCTGGCAGAGAACCATTGGTTGAGTATGCGGCACAATGGGGGTCCAGAGTCCATCCCAAAAGCAGGGTTCATATCAACTCGGGAAGGTCATTCATAATGGAGGAAACAACATATGGGTGTGGATAGGAATAGGGCAGAGTCTAATGCTCATCGGTTGGGATACCAGCAGCTTTAGCAATGCCACTAAGATGCACCGCGACTCAAGCTGTTTTCGAGTTTGTGACCATGGTTTCTGCCGGACGACGTGACACAGAGTCCACAAAAAAACAGCGCTGCCGTCACTGCGGAGGAACAGTTTTCGTTCAAAGTGATGGCGGCGCTGTTCCTTGCGGAGGGAATCAACACCGACAGTGCCAAATTCCACCTTTGGTTGAGGGAATGTCGTACACACAAGTTTCTGCAGCATGGCAAGTGCTTCTCGAAGTGATGGTGTATACACAAGTTTCGGCAGGATGGCAGGATGGTATCATACAGTGCTTCTCCGAAGTGATGGAAGCGCTGTTGCTTGTAGAGGGAGTTTTTGCTGAGATGATCACATTCCACCTATGGTGGTGCTGTTGCTTGCGAAAGAAACAACGTGGAATGATTGAAGTCTTGGAGTGAGTACTATATTCTCTTTCAACCGCTCGCACGTCTGTGATGTTGTATTGTTTGGTGTAGACGACTTTCTGCAACTGGGAGTTGCTTTCGAACTTGATGCAGCTGTGCTGATATGCTGGTATTTGGCTTGGCATGGAGGGAAGTGCGTCTGACCTGGCCATGAAGACTCACCAGCGCTTTGGGCCTTGGGCGTGACTTGCAGCTTCTCCTCCAAAATCTTCGAGTGGTCTTGCCTGATGGGCAATTCTTGATCTGCAGGGCAAATCCATCGGCCACCATGGCGGATTTGGGTCTGCAGTGCATCACAGTGAGCTGCAGATGCTGCAGATGCCCTGATCCAAATCAAGGCAGGCAGGCAGGCAGGCATCTCACATTGTTCAGTTCGAGCTGCTTCAGGAATGGAGGGGGTCACCCGATCCAAAGCAAGGCCGACACCGCACATCAAAACATCGACGGTGCAGTAGGCGCAAGCCGCCACAGACACATGATGGCAACATCGCACTTGGGAATCTAAAAACTTGGCAGTTGGACTGATAAGCTACTGCGGACCTGAACTGAGCCCAAGCATTCTATATCATATTATTGCTTAAGGGGCCGCCGACTAGAACGTGAATCCATTATATATTTTGTAACCTCCATGTGCATGGCGCCCTTGCCACTTTGACCGTTGGTCTACTCAAGCCTCCTGCACCTTTCCTTTCATACTCCAAATGTAACAAACTTGTATTGTCTACCATTATAAGTCTGCAATTGTGCAGGCAGGAGCCAAGCTTTTGCCAAACATTCTTGAAAACCACCAGATAACCTGATGAATTGCGAATGCTTGCTTGTCCGAGAATTACTTCGGGCCGGTGCAACCACACGCTTTACGGAGTCACAGGGCATTGGACGCGTAAATCGACGCATGCGGACCGCTGGACGTCGCACCCGGACGTCGTTGGACGTAGGTTGGATGGGAATCACCTAAACTTTGAGGGCCGCCCAAACCCACCTTGGATGGGGTCCAGTAGGTGATTCGGTTGGCCGGAGCTCCTGCGCAAGCCCGCATCCCGCACCTTGTCATCCACCACTTTGCCGTTTGAGCTATTGGACACTTGATTCCAGTCTGATAGGTGTCCACAGGGTGCTTTTCGAAGTTCATTGTTGTTAACCTTGGCCGATTCATTCTCGAGAATCCTTTCCAATTGCCTTGCAGAGGTAGCATCCGTGTATGGTTGATGTGGCTTGACCGTATCCACATCGCCAAGGTCCACATTCCAATTCTCATCGATGCTGTGGAGAGATCATCATGTTGAAAGACTTTTACTACAAGATGGGCCGTTTCCTCCAAGTCCATGTTAGAATTCTCCTGAGACCATGGTCCACCATGGTCCTCTAGAACAGCAGGGTTGTGCCATCCCATGATCGATCCATTGTGTCTTTCGTCTCCCAGAGACTTCCGGAACTTTCGAGGCTCCGTCCGGTCCACTGTGCCAGGCTCTTCTCGCGCACCTTCCGTGGGCCGGGCGACGGGGCGGGACCCTCCGAGGTGCCACCCGTCGACCGTGAACGGGCCAGGTTTTTCCTGGAGAGTTCGAGCGGTTACCAACTCGGTCACTCGAAAGAGGGGTGCAGAGAACCTCACACCTCACCACTGAAGATGCTTAGCACAGAACATCCTGGTCTGCCAAGAGCTGATTTGGCGCTGATGCGCCCGCGCCCGCGAGGCTGAAGCTGCTGCTGGTGGACGGGCCACTCAGCGCGGTGTGCAGGTGCTGCGCGTGTGGCGTGACAGCAGCGAGAGAGGGTAGTGGGAGAAGTGTCGACAACGTGAAATCCCAAAGAGAGGGCTACAGCCACGTGAGAGGGTAGGGCCCATCCAGAAATTGGGACACGGCATGGCAGGAGCTGGGATCCTCAGCCACCAAGGAGCTCAAGACGTTTGAATGAGGTAGGTAGGCCCATCCGCGGCTTCATCATGGGTTCCAGGCTGTGGCTTCTGTTCGCCATCAGTGCGACGATGCTGATGGCTGACACGGCCAGCACGATCACCAGCTTTATCTCCTTCCCCGGCGCCCGTTTTCGCGTGCCCAAGTGGGGCAGGCTTCGCCAGGAGAAGGGCACCCGGCCCATCGGCGAAAATGGGACCTTGGCTGGCGCCTGCCTGGCAGCACTTCTGCCGATGGTGCTCCTGTTGCAGTCTCGCAAAGGCGAGCTAAAGGCCTTACATGGAGAAGATGTCTCAGTGCAGGGGTCAGATTTCGTGGTCTTAGGCTTGGCACATTGCTTTGAGGAGGACGAGGACTGCCTGAGAGATGTTTGGGTCTTGGAGCCAGTTGCCGCTTCAACGGTAGAAGTCATCAACAATGGCGCAGCAACCTCCTATGAAGCGTTGTGCGCCACGACTGTTGACCATGTCCTTCAGCAAGATCTCAGTGCTTTGCCTGAGGGGCTGCTTCGTGGCCATGAGGTGTGGTGTTTGGTTTGTTTCGAGTCTTGATTTTGTTCAAGCACACGGCCACACGCCCATTGGTTAAACATAGGAATTCATATTGGTGAACTCGGATGTTTGGATGTAAGCCCAGCACCGTTGTTTCTTCCAAGTCACTCAAACGCCTGGGCCGAGCACGTGCGACAGGTCCAGTGGGGACAGAACCTGGAGTTCCGCACCGGTTGCGCGTCCCGGACCTGGAAGCGTCAACACGCGCGCGAGGTGGTGATGAAATTGGTTCCACCTGGCCAGATCTTCAGCAAGTGCAACACCAGCCTGGACCACAAGCGAGTCCTGAACTTCGTGAACGTGGTCAAGGATTCAGACAATATCAAGCAGGTGCTGCAGGGTTGATACAAATCCAGTGCGGCCCACTGGCATCATTAGTCAAAATTGACCACCATTCGTTTTAGCAGGTTAAACCATGCCCCTGCAGGATATCAGCATTGATGTCTATGGTCGCGCGAAGGAGAACGCCTGAGCTGGAGATGAGAAGCACGGGTTTTGATCGGCCCCACCCTTGGGCTCCCGATTTGTTTGAGTTCCTGTTTCAATCTATATATTCGCTACAGACTGTTTCAGACTGTTTCAGAGCTCCTTGCCGAGAGCTCAAAAGAAATGCGGACCTTTGAAGATTTCCTTCAGTCACCAAATGTTCTATACTAATGCTGTGGGTGAAGAGTAGGTGGGTCAACCCATGCCAAGCTTCAAGTTTTGATTTCCCCACCCAAGACTGGCCATGCGGGAGTTGCGCCATGCACTTTCAACGAAACTTCTATGCCACTGGCAGGGGGAGGGCAGGGTCACAGATCTCTGTCCGCCTGAACCAGCTGGTTTCACAAACATGGGAACATATTGAACATGTTGCATTTCATTGCCTGGAAATACAGACGAACGTACCACAATTTAGAGTTTAGAGGAAATTCTTCAGGTGGTAACCCCGGATTTTTCATAGTTAATGAGGGAGTTCAACTTCTGGTCCTCCCGTTTGCGAGGTTCGATCGCATGGGTCTCAGCTCTGCCAAGCACACCACCCCATCCGCTTCTGCCAAGCACAGGACAATGCATCCTTTGAACATGTTTGTTTTGCTTTCAATTGCTGGGGCGCGCTCAACAACAACACCAAGACAGGACGCGAAACCATTGCTTGAAGTTCCCTGAGTTCGGTGACGCGCGCTGTTTTCGTTGGTGAAAGATTGTGAAGCCAAGGCCCGGCAGTGGGAGGCGTCCCTATACTCTACCCATAGGGTCCAGGTACCTCCTGAGGATGGTCTTGGAGGTGAAAGTGCTTCCAGAGAATGGTCGAACGGGGGGTCAAAGGACAGGACCCTTAGGGCTAGACTCTAGACACATTTTGGGATATCGTTTTTTGCTGCGCTGCGGTTCTGTGACACTGGGCCCAGGTTTGGGCTAGGCCCGGAAGCGGTCCTGGAGCGTTTGAGAGTGGCACTAGCTGAGATGCCCAAGGGAGGTGCGGCGGTTTGGGTGGCGTGGTGTGGAACTGCTGAAATGGTTAAGAAATTAATCATTTCATGTGAGATGGAGAAAAGGGGTGCGTCCCTTCATCAAAGAGGAAAGCACCAGCACCATTCACATTTTTCATCATTTCAAGAACTCGAGAGAGGCCAAGATGTCTGGACTGCCCAACGGCTCGATAGCAGGTGCATGACCCCACGGCACCGTGACAAACATTTGTGACCTTGTTATGTGAATTAACGATGTGCATTTGCTTGTCCTCCTGAAGTTCCGCTTTTGCAGGAGGCACCCCTAACCCCGCCCTGTTCGCGGAGAAGCTGCCAAGTGCTGCACACGCCACCGCAGGCCCTCCGACTCTCCTGGCGTTGGATGGCGTGGAGGAGAGCCTTGCCCAGCGAGACAGCAAGGTGCAGAGCAATTTCTCTGAACCAGATTGGATCTCACCTCAGCCTCACCCCATGCCGTGCTGTCAGGCTGGAGAGCTTTGGAGCTTTCTTGGAGAGGCCCGGAGCCGCTGAAAGAGTGGATTGGGACTGCTGGGAGCTGTGGATGACCGACCCGTTGGTCTCGTTTGATGGGGTTCCGATAGGCTTGGGACTGTTCGTGTTTTGTTTTTTTAGGTTTCAACTTTCAGGTGGCTGATGCGGAGCTGTCTGTTCCTCTTTGAACGACACTTGTTTTGGACAACGCCATCAGGAGGCTTTGATATAGATCATGTCGGAACAGGGACATCATCCCACAAGGCCACGCACAAAAGGTCAACCTCTTGATGACGATGCAGATGTATGGACACCGATGGACATTTTTTTTCATCCATGTGGGGATCTCTGTACGGATCTTGTCATGGTCTTGGAGAAGGTGCTCGTAACTCTTGGTAGATGGGGGCAGCGTCCCGCAAATTGGTGTGAAGGCCATAACGATCTGGACTTGGGGGTGGATGTGAATATATACCCACCGAAATAGTCCATAGAGTCTATAGAGACCCTCAAGCAGAAAAAAAAGTGAATCCTGGAGTTCATGGAGTTCTGCTGTGCAACTCCTGTCCCTTCTTCAGGTAGGATGCCCGTTCACCGTTTGACTCCGCCGCCAGGCCTTGGCTCTTTCGTCTCCCTTACGGCTGCTGCTGGCCTCGCGCGAGCCCCGCTACGATGCGCCGCTGCCAGGGAAGGCAGGCAGACCGAGGACGAGTCGGTCCGGTCGGAATGTCACACGGAAGAGCTGGCAGGACACTCAAAAGAGTGAGACCGTCGGACAGCGATTCTTTTTTCATCCTCTCATGGTGAGTGAAACATCTTCCCCGTCTCTCCCTCTCCTTCATCTTTGGCCAGCAGGTTGTGGCGATGGAGGTGCCGCCCCTCTCGCGGGAGGTGGGCGTGTTGTCGGGAGGTGGCGAGGGAGACCGTTGAGAGGTGAGAAACATAGTTTGTGGGCGCCGTTGGAGGCAGTCGTTGGTCGTTTTAGTTTCTTTGCTTCTATACTGGCAGTGACTTCTAAATGGCCATTCCCCCACAAGGAACCATCACATTCCGAGCTGGGGAGTGGAGGAAAAGTGGACCCTGCAGGCAATCCTACCAATGGCTGAGGCATTTGATGATTCATCACCCTCGGGACCAATAAGTCCTTGGGGAGACTTAAGCCCACAAGAAAAAACCTCCCAACCAGCACCACCCAGTTGGGATGGAAAACATATGGAAAGCAGAAGGTTCTCTAAACCACCCGATCTGGGTGGTGCTGGAACAGTTCTCATTCCTCATCCAGGATGCGTGCTTGCTGCTTGCGCGGCGAGCCCACCGTCCCCTCTTTCCGCGTGATTTGGATAGCGACTTGGTCGACGACTTGGGTCGTGCAGAGGGGAGGCTAGGCAACGAGGGAGGGCCGAGAAACTGCCATCGAAGCGATGTGTCGGATTCGGAGCCTTTCTTTCTCTATCGGTTTGAAGACTTGCAGGAGGGGAGGCCCTGGCTTCGCCTTGGTCTTCAGCTCTTGGGAAGGGTGAAGGTCTCAATCTGCGGTTCAGAAACATTCTAGAATCCAGGAACTCTGATCCGTGGATGGGTCAGCTTCTGCCACAGCTCCTAGAGTTGACAACCTCTGGGAGTCTTTTGCCGTCAGGATCTGTGAAAGAAAACGCTCTTGAATGCAGATGGATAGGTAGCTGCATCTCCCGCCCCACCCAACCAAGTGCCACGGCCAGAGGCACTTGCCGCCCTGGGGGCGACCCCTTGGCACTTTCCACACGTCGGAGAGAGCTGCTGCTGAGCGGCTTGCCAGGTTCTAGCCAACGGGAGGGGTCAATTTCCCGCCAACTTTGCCCAGAAGGCAAATTTTCTTCCATTCTTGTGTGGTTGGGCACTCGCAGTGCAAGATAGTGATGCTGGTTTGTCCCCCTGTCTTTCTTGGCTTTGGAGGCTTGAAGGTGTCTTCCAAACGGGAGGAGCCGACCGAGGACGGGCCCCGCACCGAGGACTGGCCCAGCACCCGCTGGCGTCTGTGATGGGCGAGAGCCCAGCAGAGGTCATTGCAGCAGCAGCAGCCATCACTCCACAGCTACCATCCCTTTTCGCCCATCCATTGCTGCAGGACAGATGTCACCACGCATGGGTGTTTGGACATCTTTTTAAATGTCTTGTTCAGAGTTGTTCAGAGAGCTGCGGTTAGGGTGTGCAAGGCGCAGTCTTTGCAGAGGATGAGAAGCATGTGCAGTAGAGAGCTACGACTTGTGTCATCCCGAGGAGGAGGTCAGCGATGCTAGAGAAGCTTCATCTGAGCAGGGTTGAGGGGAGGACGGCCGGTGTGTTCCCAACGCTTCTGTGACATTGCCATCCCATGTGCCTCTCCGGACATCGCACCGCTGCATGAAGCTGCTCTTGTTCGGGTCTTGGAATGTTCAAGAATCCCAACCGCAGAACATGAGAGAAAACCCACAGTATCAGGGTGAGTGTAGGCACAGGGTGGAAGTTGAACAAAAGCACACTTCTTGAGACTGGGGCCTTGGCAGATAGCAAGAAGCAGGGATTTTCCCGCACCGGTGCATAGGAACATACGAAATCAGGCTTTGAAGTTCTTAGATCTTAGGCGACATCTGAGCCGTGTTGAAAACCACCTCTTGCAGCTGGGAGAACCACTTCCGCGTGCTAGTTTTGAACACTGGCTCACTGTGCACTTCCGCTCGGTTCGAGAGCCCCCTGCTGGGCATCATGTACAGTGGATGCTTTGGCAGCTGCTCTATTTGCATCCGAGGAGCTGCTCACAAGTCGGCCTGCTCCACCGGAACCAGTTTGGTGTTTGCCCAGCGGTTTGCGCTCGGGAAGTTGCTTTGGCCATCGATTGGTTGGGGGTGAAGCCCCCAAGGCCACCGCTATGCATGCGACCTTTTTGTAGAGCCAGCCCCAATGAGAGGTGACCCGCAGCCAGCGCGGCTTCACCAGATTCTTTAAGTGCGCAACACCTTTGTGCGCGCGAACGCAGCTAAGACTGGCAGGTGAGGGATTGGACTTCGGTGTAGGTTTTGTTTCTACGTGCAGGTCCTTAAAACGCACACGTGGCCCCTCTGCCAGCAGCCGTGGTGCATCGTTGGGGCTCATCCCGCATAGAGTCAGAAGCCTCTCCCGGCTCTTCAGCTGATGGGGTTCAGTCAGCTGTAGGGCATCGAGTCTTCGTGAAGACAAGGCTAGTCTGAAAGAGTTTGCTGCTTCTCGGTTTTCGAACGGAAGGGAATCTAAGCAAAACCAGCATGGGAACCAAGCAGAGTTGTCCAGAGGGGTGAGGGGTATCTATGTCCTGCCATTGTTTCAGTGCCGGCTGGCGACCTACAAGTTCGAGCTCCAACCTGACACCAACCGATTTTGCTCAAGCTGTCCAAGAAGCATAAAGGGGACCGCAGCCATGAAGCTTTTTCTGGCAGTGCTGTCCCTGGCATCTTGAAGAAATGGGTGACGTGAAGGGTTTGCCTTCCTGGGATCAAATCACCTCCGCACCAAGACTAGGAGCCCGGGGGTGCTTTCCTTAGTACGACGCGTTCGAGACCTTTTCTTTTCCACAAGAGTTCATAAAGGGTTTTTCGTCGTTGTCATTCTTGCCAGTTTTTTTCATTTGCTGATTGAAGGGCATCATCCCACTGCCCTCTCACGCAGAATTTTTATTCCCCTTATTTGCGCTGCGGGTTGGGCATAGCACTTCGGCTTTCAGCCGTCCATCCCAGGCTGCTGCTGAGATCAGCCAGGAGCAATGTCGCACGGGCGTCCTTCGGAAAAATCGAGCGCCTGAGCAACAGGCGCGGTGGGGTGGGTAGACCTGTAACATAGTGACCCACGGAATGCCGGAGAGTCCTTTTTCCTCAGAAATCATACGAAGGCAACGGCGCTAAAGGCACCATGGTGTGAGCAACGTCCACCAAGCTCTGGCACCTCTATTGCTTTTCTACCAAGCCGGTTGCACATGTGAACTTTGACCACTGGATGTGCCAACCCCCCGGTGCGCGGTAGCAGGCTTGGTGCTGCGCACTCTACGGCCTTTGCAACACCACAACAGTTGGAAGGAGATTGTTGGGAGCCCAGGCAACGGCTTCCGCTTCCATTGAAAGCGAGATCACCAAAGCCGACGATTTCGGATTCAAGCTGCTGGCTTATGATTGGTTTCATTGATGGGGGATCAATCCTATTCGATGTTGAGGGGCTTGAGAGGAGCAATGAAGGCAAACAGGCCAAGGCCAGTTTTCAACGAAGAGAGAAACTGGTGGAGCACGCTGGCACAAGAGACACTCAGGAGTTCTTCATTTGCTTTTAGCAGGCTAGGTTAGTGGTTGTTTGATCGAGGGTGCTGGTTGTTGGTCATCGGCAGCCTTTTTTGAAGCAGTGCTTCGGCCTTATTGTGCTCATAGAGATGCATTGTTTGGCCACGTCCAGCGTCAAAAAGGACAAACAGACACACATATGTGGGGAGCGCTGGGCAGGTAGGTACATTACGTACGGCCATCACAGACCAATCAGGCAGATATATAGTTGGATGATGTTGGATGTTTGTATACATCGGAGTTGCGGAACATGACGCTGCTTCAGATATGTAGATGTACCTTTGGCTTATTCATATAGATAGATACTTAGATAAAGATATCAGTAGGCAAAAGCATTGCAAAGCATTGCAAAGCTAGTTGTTTTTCTTGGGAATGTCGGTGTTGTGCTTCGGAAGATGGACGTTTCTCAAGGATCACGGCTCGGCTCCCCGGCGGTCAGGCCGTGATCCAGGTGGGTGCCGACATCTATGACTGCAATGAGGGCTTGGACAATGCGTGGGGCTGAGTTGGTGCGACGCACCTTAGGGTTCCATCTGGAACGGAGCCTGTTTTTAGACGAAAACATCCTTTTCCCAAAGGCCATTCCGTGTTGGAAGAGTAGTGATCCATCGTGCCAAAGCCGCCAGTGCTGAGGTCCGGCTGTATTGGGATGTGGAGAAGCAAGCTCATTGCTGCGCAGAGCTGGGGATGGGTTGCCCGCTGCACGCGACACTTGACTGGCAGAGGGGCAGTGATTTCTGATTGCATTGTCAGGCCTTGACCACTGCTCACGTCCACCGCACATCGGTCTTGGACTAACACCTGAGGTTCGACTGTGAGAGTGGCTACATGAATTGGGTCCATGGCTGGTCGCCGGGCAAGAAGATTTGGTGCTGCCAGAATACCAACCGCGGCTGCCCGCCGACCACTATGACGATGACCGCCACTGCGCTGGGGGCCGAGCAAGATGCAGACTCGACTATATATAGATATGTTTGCCCAAAATGAGAAACCAAGATATGCCCACCTTAGTGTACGTATACTGTAATTATTGGTCCTTTCTGATAAGTTCACGCAACAGATCCACAGCCAGAGGGGCTTGGGCCCCTTTGGTTGGCGCCTGGCTTGCCCACTGCATCCTCAGGACAACCACCGAGACCTCAACCTTCCCAGGATGCATGATGCACTGCACGCTGGACAATGTCAAGGCAGGTGTTGATGGGCGACCGATGGGCGTCCTTCCGCGGCACTTGTTCCAACCCATGCATTCCCATTCCTTTTTGCCTCATCTGTGGTGGGTCCTCGTTCTGGATGTTTGGGGTGTCGCGCCTTGTCACTGCTTTTGCTTCCGTGCTTCAGACGACGATTCTATAGGTTCGGGGCGTGCTTTCCTCCACGAGTCCATAGGTTCTGGAAGAATCTCCGGAAATAAGCTGCCCTTCCAACGGAAGGATTCTATAGACTATCCCATAGGTACAGCAGGTGACGGGTCCTATTTTCACTCAACCTCTCTTGGTTGCGCATCCATTGCGCCTTCTGCTGATGTTGCGGATGTAGTGCGTGTCAGAAGATCCCTGGAGCTCCGAGCAGGGCGAGCATCGAACGACTAGAAAAAGACACCAGACAGGAGAGAAGCCCTCCTGGTGTAAGAGGACAATGGTTATTGAGGGACCGGACCAATGGCGAATTTCACACCGACTTGGCCCCCAATTAGAGCGACCCAGTCTCATTTCATTGCAGTTTTCAGGTGGTCGCGAACTCGGAACCCACCTGATGCTGGGTGTGTGCCTTTTCGACGCAGGTGACCTGTGAGGAGCGAATTCACTTCGCCTCAGTGCATACCTTCCTGGGCCCCTGAGCTTGAGAGCGCAGAGCATTCGGCGCGTAGACGCGTGCAGTAAGGGGGGTGTGCTGCATGGTGCGAGGCGACGCAAGCTGCTGCACAAAGCAGATGGATGTAGAAAGCCGGGGCCATTTGGGAGTTAAACCCTGTAGTCGGCCCAATGGTGAAGGAAGAGGATCGAAACCTGCACCTGGATGAGCCTGGAGCCCTGGTGTTTGTAAGGAAAAGTGCATTGCAGTGCATCATGGATACTTGCTTGCTGTTTCGCTGGGCAAATCCAATCAAGCATTGTTTCCCAAGACCCCTGGTAGAAGTGGAGGACATTGGAAGAGCGTAACGGCCAAAGTTCGTGCCCGTAGCGGCACGCACTTAGGATGTTCACTGAGGTCTTTTCCTGCAGGCCTTTTTGCAAGAAATGCCGTTGCATCATGCCCATCTCAGGTGAGGTTTCTCCGTGCCAGATGGCTCATGACCTTGTACTGCGCGAGTGCGGTGGAGTTTGCGACCATTGCCCCATTCGTGACTTGGTTGCACCGGCTACCGAGGGAAAGCTGACGGAGATTCAGTGAAAAAGAGAAGATTCACTAAGCACCCTGGACAGGACTACCTTTCTTGACTATCATTATTTTACTGTAATATCCCTTGTTACCCAATCAACACCATTCCCATTTATATAGTTATATTCTATTGCGCGGTTGTTTTTGGACATCTCTGAAGCAAGGAAGGATACAAGGAAGCCAGGAAACACGTAACCAGCATACAAGAGAAAAAGGATGCCAGCAACGGAGCAACTACGCAAACAAGCAAGCAAGCAAGCAAGCAAGCAAGCAAGCAAGCAAGCAAGCAAGCAAGCAAGCAAGTGTGAATAACATTAAAAACAAGACTTGCTGCCCATAGTGCTGTACTGCGGATAGCAGCAACGACAGCAATGAGATATCCAAAGTGCTGTGACTACCAGCTACGGGGGTATCCAAACAGCAGCGGAAGTTGATAAGATGTCCAAACGTGCAGACAATAAGCGAAAGGTTCAGACGCACCAGCCAAAATGTTGGAAATAGCAGCAGGAGTGGGCTACATGGACCCCTATGTGTTGCAAATACTGGCCTAAATTGGAAGCAAAAGCTTCTGGACACATGTCCGAAAAGAGTGCAAACATGATGAAATCGGTGCAGAGACCTCCGGTCCGGCGCAGGTGTCGCCTGCCTCGGCGCCGCGAATGTGGGGGGCCTCGGCCTCGTTGGGTGCGTTTGGACGACGAAGCGCCACGGGGGCGGGACGGTTCCGGGACGGTTTGGATGGATTGGGAAGACGTGATCCGATCTGTCTTAGCAGGTTGGGCCGTTGATGGAAGCCACTAGGCCCTTGGAATCGAACACCTTCAGTATATCTCCAATATGGTTCATATGTTTTTTTGTGCTTGACATTCTCTAAATTACTGTAACCTACCCAGTCAGTGGTGATGTACCCTAACTTTTTTGAGGATTTGGTCTTTTGAACGGTGAACGACGGCGGTTTCCATTCGCTTCGCCTCGCTTCGCCTTCATCCATTCTGCTTTGCGGCAGGTTCCCACCTCAACGCCGAAGCCCACCACTTTGCCGCGCACCACCCTGAAGAGCGGGTCAAGTGAAGGCAAAGACCCATTTGACTGCCAAGAGGGCTTGGAGATGTGGCAAATGGCTCCTTTGATGCACAAGAAGACAGAACACGCTTGAACTTATCTAGAACGGAAGCTTGAGAACGATGAGAGTGCAGCAGGACAGGCGGGACATGGGAATCAGGAGCGGTTTGGATGTACTCAGGTCTGGTTTCCAGCCAAACAGGAGTGGTGTTGCAATCACAAGCAATTGGGATGTCCGGACCGAGCCCTACAGCAATGGCAGAGACACTTGCTTTCACTTCTGATGGTTTGTATCGAAACGGTGAATAATCGAAATCCGTGACAGCTATTTGTACACGCAGCAACTTTTGGATTGTTGTTGTCGTTGTGGTTGTGGTTGTGGTTGTTGCCGCCGTCGTTGTCTTCTTCTTTCCCGAATGCGTAGCGAAGGGTTCCCGTTTATAGTTGGGGGTCTGGGGGTTGGAGCTGTGTTTGCATGGCTTGCGTCGTGTCGTCGTCTCTCGTCGTTTGTCGTCGTCTCTCGTCGTCGTCGCGTCTCAAATTTGCTGCCATTGGGGGAAGCTTTTGCAAGTGACTTTGCATGGATGTGTCACGTGTCAGTTTGCGCCGCTATTCCATTGTGATTTGCATGACACCGACATGTCGCGCAAGAAACGTGATGCATTTCGCTGCACAGGCGCATCGTTTTGTGAGATCCGCAGTTTGCTGCGCAGTGCCATTGGGATTAGCGTTTGGAGAGTCGTGTTTTTGGGGTGTTGGATGCGGCCGTGCCATTGGGACTTGCGTTTCAGGGTGTGGCATCGAAGCTCTGTTTTCGTAACAAGTCTCAGCTGAAATGGCGATTTTGGTGGATGGGAGTGTGCTCTGAACGGGTCGAAATCATTCCAAACGTGTGGTGTGGAGTGTGGTGCAAATTTTGTTGAAGCTCACATGCGATGATATTGTCACTTTTCGTGGCAGGCGCAGGACTTCGTGCGGGTTTTGAGGCGTGGAAGTGCGATTCTCGTGGCAGGCGCAGGGAATCGTGAGGTTGCGAGGTGTGAGGGAGGTGACATTTCGTGGCAGGCGCAGTACTTTGTGCGCGTTAGACGTGTGGATGGGGAAAGATTCGTGGCAGGCGCAGGGAATCGTGAGGTTGTGAGTTGTGGTGGAGGTGAATGTCGCTGTCACATTGGGGTTGGCGTGTGGGCGGATGTTGTTTGGAGGGTCTGGAATCGCGAAACTGCTTGGCAGGGCTGCATGATGTGTGTGCTCCGATGGGTGTTTCCGCTTGACTTTTGGAGGAAG